TTGTGCGTGTGTAATCTCTTTGTTGCCCTTAAGGGACTGTTTTAATCTTAGGTCCTTCGCTCTACCGCCTCAGTAGCACATTATAATATGTGTAGGCATGTAGTACCCGAACGCGCATATATATAGTTATGTATATATATATATAATTAAAATGCACGCACGCGCACATCATCAGGTTTAAAACGACCGTCTCGTCTTTTAGGCCAAAAACCGGTGACGATGTGATTATATCGCTATTGTCTTCGCACGAATATATCACATTATTATTATAATATATGTCATATAAGTATATATGTTTACTGGTGTCAATCTCCCGAAATTTACATACCGCCACAGTTACATATTATGTATATAATAAATAATAATAATAATAATAATATAACTATATTATGAGTTAACAAAATATTATCTTTGTACATATGTGCATGACTATAATACTATATGAGTAATGAATATTATACTCATGTAGGTATATAATATAATATCGTTCGGATTCGTTACCTATATCCGTGGTTGCGGTAGTATAAACTTTAATAAGTAGTATTATTATAATTGTACATTTATACTTAATTCATCACGATTCGTGAACCTAATGTTGTAATAAGTGATAACCATATAAAATCTATAATGTACCTTTAGAATATATACATAGATTATCGACCTATAGTTCCAATGGTATATAACATATATAGATATATAGATATAGTATAGAAATGCAAATTCATTATGATTTTTAATTTTTTAATTAGCATAGCCGATTTAATATTTTATTGACGATTATTATAATATTATAGTAATACGCTAACTCAATTATATATACGTTGTATTATAAAACRTGTGCTTATATCTAAGCCTTATAGATTTATTCAAATTATAGTGGGCTTGGGGCTTCACTATTTTTTGTTTTTTTGTTTAGAAATCAGCAAACAGTTAACTAATTCCAAAAATCACACGAATCAATGTTTAAACAATTTTTTCCTTGTTATAAGTACATATAGGTATTATAATATGTAGTTATATTTATAAATATTAGCTATTTCGATTTACCGTGTAATAAACAACTATAATACAATAAAACAAGAATATCTTCTTCTAAGATCTGCCACTGCCAGGGATTTAAAGCTCAAAGTTGTTTCATAAATTTATTATTAAATTTCAATTTGAATGTTCGACACTTATATTAGTAATGTATAGATCAAAATAAAATATAGAAATTATAATTTATAAATAATTTAATAACATTTGTACATAATCTATTTGTTAGGCATAGGCGGGTTAGCTAAACATAATATTATAAATACGTTTTCCATATTATTAAACATTTTTAACAAATTTGATTATCGTTAATATCCAGTGTTATAGGACTGAATTATTTTTTTATCTTTTATCTTGTATAAATAAATAAATTTAATAAAAATATAAAAAAAATGCATTATAAATGTAGTGCTAGGTTCACTTAATGAACWAAAAATAAATAAAATATATTAATGTGAAAAAAGTTAGTCCAAAAGTCAGTTCTATCTATTACAACTAACCTAACCTGCTTTTTTTAAAAATATTCATTAATATGTGTATTTAAAAAAATATCAAATTGTATTAATATAGTATAGTAGGTGACTATAAAAAATATCTTCTAATTCTACTTTTTTGTATTATTCGACATTTTTAGCGTTATTAATTTATTATAATTTTAAAACCATGAAAAATTCTAAGTAATTTTATAGTAATGAATTATATCAAGTAAAATGAGTGAATTATTTAGTGAAAATAAAATCAGAGCGTATATAGTGTATACTGTATAGCATGTATATATTTTTGGTATTTTAGCATTTATATTTTCCAGGAAAAAATATTTGCTTTTATTATAAAATAATTCAAATAAATTATTTAAAAGCTGTCGGTGAAAAAAAATCAAATTCTTAACAAAGTTAAGACAAACGATTTTCATGCCATTCTTTATGTGGCAAGATGACTTAAAAAATGTTCTCTTGAATAATAAATAATCTATATTACACAAAATTATTTAAGGTTAAAATCTATATAAAATGCCTATAAAGAGGTATATATAAAAGGTGTATTGTTGTCTTGAATAAAAACAATCCAKTACAACATATTAATATTATAAAAGTGTATACGCCGCAATAAACATTATATATTATAATATCGCGATGAATAACGTGAAATAAAAAGAACTCTCATATTATTATTTTTGTAATACCTAATAATATGGGAAACGAATTAATAATTATTAYTATTATGACAGTTTTCGTAAAACAAACAAATCGCATTTTAAACAGTTGGCTGCTGCCTCGGCGCAGATGCGCGCGTATTAACGTTTTTAAAAAAAAACATTTTTTTAAATATCAGCGTGGCTTATTATTCGCGGAAAAGTCGTTGTCGAGACGCATTTTGTTGTCTAATAATATTATATATAATAATATATAGGGACGGCGCGGTGGAGGATGCGTCGAGATCGGCCGGAGACTTTGGACTGGGCGACGCGCGGGCGGGTCGAGAACGCAACGGCGGCCGCTTCGTAGTCGGGTGGTACGCCGCCGCCACCGCCGCCGCATCAGAGGGACGTTTAGACGGAATATAGGTTAACGCGCGCCCGCAGTCCGCAGCGCCCTGCTCGGTTTGGCGGTGTCGGTGTCGGTGTCGTCGTCGGTCAGACGGTGCGGTGTGCTTTGCGGAGAGCCAATGGGGTGTGCCRCAAGCCAGTGGAACCAACCCACCGTCGGTGACGTCACCGCCACCGCCGACACCGCAGTCGATTCCCCGGCCCGCGTCTCGCCGCACCGCCATGGCCGGAAGCGGCGGCGGCGGCAGCTTTCTCGCCGGTTTTCTTTTCGCCTCTCTTTCGTCGCCTATATATATCTCTCGCTCGCTCCGTCACTCGTTCTTCCTTGCATACGCATGCGACACATACAGCACACACTCGTTCGCTCTATATTTATCTCTCACTCACACATTCTTTCTCTCTCTCTCTTTTTCAATGTCTCTCTCGCTCCGCTTTAGCGCAATCGTCCGCTCTTCTTCGCACTCCTTCGCCGGTTCCATGCCGAGTCGGACGTAGGTATATTGCATTGCGTGAATCAGCTACGCTGCACTTTATATTAAAACACGCGCTGCTTTCGCCTTACACATCCGAACCAACTGGCAACTGGAAATCTCAGTGACTAATAATATATTATTATTATTATTATTGTTTAGTATACGTGACAATGCTTAGAGTTTACCTTCTAAAATTTTATTTTATTATAATTGTTCAGAGACCAAGTACAAATTTGGACTAATTTGAAAACTGTTATAGGAACGAATTTTTTCTATGATGAGGACGAGGGTATTTCACATCATTTTTTTAATTTAAATATTTTAGAGATGGTGAAAGTCAAAAATATGCAATTTATTTCATCTTATATAATATATCTATAAAACAAGATTCATACGCATAAATTGTATATTGTATACTTTTACAGCTAAATGGTACTGGTGGAGTGGAAGATTACGGGTGACGGTGATGACGTGTGGTCGGCGGCGGCGGAGGCTTGTTATAGCATTTTGAAATTAAAAGCTGTTTGAGTGGATGTAATTAGTGCGAGCGGGCGCGCGGTGATACACACACACACATATATGTATATAAATATATATTATATATAGTATAACGCTGAAGGGCCGCTGGTGAGGAAGAATGTATATATATATATATATATATACATGCGCTGACGGCTTAACACAAAAGGTGCACCGCTGTCAACATAATAAAGGGTTTTGCAACCCTCTCCCTCCCCTTCAACCTCTCTCTCTCTCTTTCTCTCCTTAACCCTATCGGTATAGTGTATATGTACATACTTAAAATATATTTATATATATATATATATATATATAGGTACATACCCGGTATACGCAGCAGTAGTCCGGATGGGGGCCCTTTTATGTGTTGACGCTTGTAAAAGTTAAACTGCCACCGCCCACCGTCGCCGCTCACGTAAATATCACCTTCTTGCAGCACGCGCTGTTCCTCCGGCCGTGTCTTGGCGCGAATCTACCCTCCGCGCGACCTTTTAATAATAAGTGCCTGCCAACCCTTTTCGTAACTGATAACGTCGTCGTCGTAGTCGGCAGCGGCGAAATTAAATTAACCCTTTGGAAACACCTCAAAGGTCACACGGTGGAAATTCGCGCGATTGCCACCGGAGAAACGCACAAAAGGTTTTATAATTATTATTGTTATGATCATTATCATAAAAATTAAAAATGATTGTAACAATATAGTTTATAATAATCGAGATTACCAACGTAGAAATATTGCACCAGCCATCATTACCTATTCTATATTATACAGTATAGGTAATAAATTATATGATTTAACATATATATATATACGAGTATGAATACCGTGCTTTATGCGTTATTTTGTCAATATCTACAGATATTAATCTGATATGTTATATATATGATATAGTTATATCCCTATGATAACTACATTATACCTAAGTGATAATCTAATAAGAGTTGTGGACCAAAGAGTTTTCTTTATCTATAATAATATGCTGTATTTGAGTTGTGACTCGATTGATAAATATACCATTTAAAGATATGTCCATCACACATATAAATATATTCATACCAGCTACATATTAGTTATAATCGTGGTATTGTACGTAGCCATTTAAATTTTCTAATTTCAGATATAATATTATTGTCTTATAATAGATATACAGAGTATTAAAATAAAATACAATAACACAATGTTAATAATACCTAAATTATAAGCATCAAAATATTATAATACCATTAATTTTTGTTAAAACTCGTAAACGATGAATTATTTTATTATATTGTGTTCCACGAATGTTAATTATTTATTATTACAGAAATAATAATATTATTATAAATACATTCAGTTATTTTAATCAACAAGTGTATTATGCAATACAAAGGTACATTTACCGTGGTTCAAACAGTATACGTGAATGATGTGGTGATTTTTATTACAGGTCTTGCCCACTCGTGGGGAACATCGTTTTCCAGAGCTTTACCGTCGACCGCATATCCCCCATATATGGGTAACAATTGCGGCCCACCGACATTTCAACACTCAAACTTTACAAATATTTTTCCGTACAACGGAACGACCACTGAAGTGATTCAACAACAGACGATTAACACGGGTACAGGTAATGTAACTTTTATAAATCGTTTGTATTTTTCAGTAGGTGCATTATGTGCATCGTCCTAATATATCGTAATAAGATATAAATTAATAATTTTATATCACGAAATTAGTAAAATTAACATAGTTAGAATAACTTTTATTATTTTATCAATCAGTTCAGGCTGTGCTAAACCGATAATCTTATAAGTGAAAAAACAAGGAAATTTTATATCACGAAATTAATATAGGCAATATAGTTGATTTATACGAAAGTTATGATTTCAAAATTTGAGTTGAAATGGTGCATGATATAATATATGTATAATAATATATACAAACTTTGTTGTAATATCGGTTTTTTTAATGTATAAATATAGGCTCTACAGTAGACTATGGACTAAGACAAAACCACATATATGACGACGGAAGTTATATTATTATACACTCAAGAGCCAATAAACTTCTTTTTTAAAAGATATACCTATATTTATTTATACTATAACTACCACTTTAATTATCGATAAATTCGTGGTTTATCGTTATTGCGCGGTTATACTAAAAATATGACTTTGTATACCTACGACATATTCTAAAATGATGAATGCGTATTATAAAAACTTCTTTAAAAACACTCGCACAAATGACTTATAATACTTTTTGTAGCGTGCTTTTAAAATATTAAATATATAAAAATTATTACAAAATATAACAACCTAATGTAGAAAATAATACATGACCTATATAATTCATTAAAAATATCATCCCACGGGTTACGTCTGACAGTAACTATCGACGAGAAAATTTACTTTGCGTACTTATTTCGTCTGCACTTGAATTTTTTTCCCTGTCTCGTATTTAAATGATAATAAGTATATAATATTTTATTGTGAAGAGCAAAAGAGCGTCTAAATGCATGTAACAATATCTCGTGTTCAAGTCAAATCGACAYTATGTGTATACGTTCATTTCTTACAATGAAATGTAATAATTTTTTTTTTGACGTCTGTTCGTATGATTCGTTTTGAAATACCAAGGTTTAACGCAATCAGACATTTTCTTTATATTTTTTCTTCTTAAGAGATGACATTATAGGTGCCACCCCGGAATCACGTTAAGGCGATTTCAGGAAATGAGATCGATTCCTCTGAGCTAGTAAATTGTAACAGTTATTGATATATATTCCGTCTAACTTTAACTTTCCGTCAGTAAATCCTTTATTTAACGGTAGCCATACTGTTAAATGTTTTATATAATTATAGCATAACGTGATATTTATTACTAAGCGAAATATTGATATTTTTTTTAAACATAGTTTGGAATCAAAAACACGTATAATTATATTATATGTTACCTTAACCTACCTAATAAAGTAATAACTAGTAATAACTAAGTAGTATAGCTATTATCGCATTGATATACGATTTAATATTATATATTATTTTCTTTATTATAGGTATAAGATAGGTTTGAATCCCATGAAATAATTATTAAGCATACATAATATTACAATTTACAAAACAAATAATGTTTACTTATAAATTACGTGACAAAAATCAATAGATGTGTATAATACTATATTATTATATATGTTATGTATATAATACATAAATATATATATTATGAAGAAAAAACGAAGACTTAAGTGATAAATTGCCACTAATTAGAAATTTCTTGTAATTAAAAACTAATATTTTGTATTAAATCATAACATTTTCGGAATTTTATTAAACAGTTTATATATCAATATAATATCATGACTATATGAGTAAAAATATAGATAGCATTTATCTCTCATCCATAGCATTCTGTTCGTTTTAATTATTTAACAATTAATATCGTAGACATTTACCTTTACCAAGGCACAGACCTTTTTTTTTTTGTATTTATCAAACATTCAGAAATACCAAATGCGTTAGCCGACAAGTGCCTTATCATAATATTGTAATATGATGGAAAATATACTGTTTTTTCGCAGATGGCAACAACAGCAACAATAGAACCACGACGGAACCATTGGGACCGATCAGCGTCAACGTGAGCGTAGACAACACGACGACTAGAAGCCACAGGACCGGAATCAGGGGCCACAGGGGCTTGTTGACCACAGTATCTGGGAGTGGAGCACACAAACGGCACCACCACCACCATCACCACCATCACCACAAGCGACACCGGGACAACCGGTCCGAGAAGAGCGCAACAGGACCGGTGGCCGCGGATCGCTTGTCACCGACGGCCGTTGCAGCGTCAGCAGCAGCAGCAGYTATCAATCACAACGACAACAACAACAACGCCAGCGGCGCCGGTGTCGGCGAAGAACACGACAAAAATAAACGACGTGCGACAGAAGACGACCACCGCGTTCGGCGCGCGGCCAGGACGCCTTCATCGCCGCCGCCTCCGCCAACGTTGCGACTGCCTCCGCCTGCACAGCCTGTGGCTCAGCTGCCTCCGCATATTATGGCCGCGGCCACCGTGTCACCGCAATCGCACCAACCTCCCGCGACCGTGCCTGCGCCACCAGTCACTCAACCCGTTCCGCTCGTGGCGCCGTCGCTGTTCAGCCTGTTCCTGAACGCGCCACTCCTGCAACCACACACGCAGTGGCTGTACTCTCAGCTGTACCCAAATCCGTATCTGAGCCACATACGCAACACCATGATATTCGACAACGAGTCGACGGCCGCTGCCGTGGCCGCGGCCGCGGCGCAGAAGGTCGTGGATGGCAACGTYGGTGGTGCCGTCGATGATGGCGACGGGTCGACAGCCGAGAACGAATCTCCCAAAAAGTCGCCCACCGACGATGGTGAAGCGGACATCGGCGGTGGTGGTGCCGACGAAGAAGACGACAGGGACGGAGCTGATGCTTCGCCGGCCGTCTCACCTAAGACGACTGCCAAACAGACGGACGTCTGGCGGCCGTATTAATGCGATCACCGTGGCCTTAGCAATGTTGTGTCTATGACGATGTAAAGTCACGCGGGGACGCTGAAGTTTATCGTAACAGGATGACGGTTTCATTAAAACTGAATTCGTATTTTGTACGATAGCACCACTCGAGGCGGACGTCTTCCTATGCACATGCGTACAATTTTAAAATATTAATAATTATACGTACCTAATACTTAAGTTTAGGTATCTCATTGAGGATTACATGGAATTATCCCAATATTATATTACAATATATTATCATAAACGATACATCACCCATATGAACCCACCTTTATTTTTATGAGCCGTAACCCACTACCTCTCGAGTCCTGCAGGGATATAGGTTCGATGTTACTGATGCAATGTTCTTTATATATACACACCCAGAGGTCGTGACTCGAGAACATCAATACTTCGTTTTGTATTGATTTGTGTTTCTTTTTTCGGTAAATATTCATCACTATACCAGCTAGGATACACCATATACGTGTTAATTATTATATTTATTTATGTTTTTCGTTAGCTCTTTTGTGATATTATAGACTTGTGCAGGTCGACTGGAGAGCGTATTTAAGTAAGCAAAAAAAAGATAACATTGTTACCATACATAATTTAATGTTCATTATAATGTGTATAATTTTGCACGTATCATCGTCTCCCGACAAAACTACCTAACCTAACCCTGCCCCGTGGCACCATCACCACAGTCACTTCCGCTGCTATCTTATGTTGTATACTTGTATGTATTAGATACTTAATTATATACCTGTATTCCCGACATAGCCACGACGCGTCAATTACTCCCGTTCGATGTAATTATTTGTTATATTRCGTAGGACCACCCTATTACTATGGACTTTACGTATTATAAAATAAATCATAATATACCTATTGTGTAAAATAACATTAAATATTATATGTTTGTRTAAGTAAAATAATCCACTCCTGTACCTGCGCGTCCATTATAATAACATGGTAGTAGGTATCTATGGTACACGATAATGTCCCACCTACTACCATTTTATTATTATAATTATTACTATTTTTTTTCAACGTGTATTTTATGTTTAATTCAAAGTGTACGATATTATTATTAATTATTATATTATTATTATTATTATTATTATTATGTGAATAAAAAAAACAATTATTTGGTTGTTAACAATATTTAATTGATTTTTTTTGTCGTTTTATTTATTTAATCCTACAGCTCTCGACAGTGGTGGTTTTAGGGAGGAGGGAAGAGGTGTTTGGAWGCTGAAGCACCAATCTTTCCACACAATTAGCGTTATTTTAATTTTTAATTAGGTACTTGGATATCAATTATCACCTAGAGGCTAGAGCTCAGCATATTATTATGAATTGTAGACTAAAAACTCAWAGGATATTTTAAATTTGTTTTTACCTTGAAATTATTCATGAAATGTATCCAAGAATAACAATTACTGTCTAAAAAATACAAGCAACAAAAAAAGTAATATTAGATTCTCTATAGAGCTCTAGTGCTCAACAAAGTAGCTCTACTACAAATTAAAGTATAACTTATAAGACCCTATATATAATAATATAGACATAGTATGGTATGCTGTAAAATTTCGTTAGTATAGACAAAAATTAATAACATTATAGGAATTAACATTTAAAATAAGAAAAATAAGAAAAATTTAGAGAGTAATTTTATTTAATTTATCTAGGTGAAATGTATGGACATATCAACATATGTATGTACTTGAATGCATCTGTTTCTTTCTTACACATAACGTTTGTATAGCTCTCTCACTCTTTCTCTCTCTGTGTCGCTCTTCTAAACAGCTGATTAAAGTAATTTTAATTTTCCGTTTTTTGAACAGCTACAGATGTTTATTTATTATATTATACATCAGATTTGGAAACCTTTCTGGAAGTTATATGAGATTAAAAATTAGTATATATAAAACTAAATACATGAAACTATATCTGCAGTAGAAGACCGAAGAGTAAGTACAAAACATTATAATCAGTGAGAATAACTTTGAAGCCGTTAATAGTTTCGTGTATCTTGGTTCTGCACTCAATAATAGTAATAACATGACTAAAGAATTATGGCCAGCATTCGCGCATACTTTGCCCATATCTCACTTTTTAGATCAAAGCTGTTATCAAAAGCCACAAAGAATCCAGACTCCATAGAAAGTAAAAAAAATATTTTAAAGTGGCCTGGTGTAACGCGGTGATATAATATCATTAAATTCAAATTTAATGCAATCCATTACAGTTACTCATTCGTAACCTGCTGCTGTACAGGAGAGCGACACCCACTTGCTCACCTTTTAAAATTGTTCATAAATGTATTTGGATTCTATTATTTATTTATGTGTACCTATAATTTAACAAAATATTATTTTATTTAGCAACTGCCCTTTTTGTCTCCGATTTACAAACGTTAAAGAATAACGATTCAACAATCGGAACATATTACTCTAAAACGTGTTCTGATTAAATGTTCAAGAACGTATTATTTCAAAATGTTCTTTTAGTTAAATTCACAAGAACGAATAACTTAACAAGGTTTATTAAGTCCATCATTCAAGAACTTTAATTTTTTTAACGTTTTTTATATGAAATGTTCAAAAAACATAAACAATTTTAACGTTTTTTCTCGTAAAATGTTCGGTGAACCATTTTATTTATAACGTTACATCTATAATTGTTTGTTAAACAAAGTTTGATTTAACGTTTATCACAAATAAAGTTAAAAAACAGATTATGGAACTGAACCAAAAATTAACGGTTAAGGTCACCCTGCTTCAAATCCAATAAGCTATGTAATACAAGTTTGCCTATGGGCTATAATGGATTACAAAATATTTTTGTATATTCTTATGTACATTTTTAATCAAGTTAGGAAAAAACTTATTTATTACATGCTAAATTGTTGGTTATCTAAACGTCTTTTAATACAACCCTATATTCTATAAATACTATTTAAAAACAATTTGGTAATCTTTATATTATTTTTAAATATTAACTAGTATGAAATATAAATTCCACATATTCCAATTTTGATATTTCTCAATACTAAGTAAAATTGTGTGTTACCATAAAAAAAGTTGAGAAACACTGGTTAAGACAACACTCCTAGTTGGTAAGTATGCATCAGGCATTGTGTTTAGTGGTTGTGTGTGTATTTTGTCGTCGTAATCTACGAGTTTGCCACCGCCACACGCACGTCAACAGAATATTATTATTATCATTCCCAGTGCGGGATAGGTTCTCGTTTTTATGGTTTAGATCGTTCCCAGATGACGTTTGGGATTGTTTTTTTTTGTATTATTATTATTATTGTTATACTTTGCACCGTCGTTTAATCGCCTTATTGCGTTTGTGAAGAAGCCGGCGGCGATCGAATCGAGAGACACGTCGAAGGGAGACAAAATATATATATTTTACAATAAAAAAAAATCGCTTGTAAAAAAAAGCATGACAAACAACAGGATCGGTGGCAGTATAGCAGTAACAGAAACAGTAGTAAGTATATATATATATATATATTTATTTATTATATAGTAATAACGGAAAATCAGCAGTCGTGTCACATTGCCTGCATTGAGGGGATGGATAGTAGGAGAACGGCCGAGGAGTAGCCGACGGCGGCTGCAGAGTGGGTTGTTGATTTAATAAAGAGTGAAAAGGCACACGGTGTGTCGAGTTCGGCGATCCGTATACTTATATATATATGTATATGTATAAGTTTGTGTGTGTGTATGCGTGTGCTTGAGAGGGCGGTAAAAAAGAAGAGAGGAGAGAACGACGAAAATTCGGCTATTGAAAAGAAACGAGTAGAGGTAATGTGATTTCACGGTGTGCTGTCATGTTCACACCAAATATTAGGAATTGCCAGGGAAACCCGCCGGGGTAGCTACAGTGTCAAGGGGTAGCAGTGCACTCCTCGTCTCAGCAAGGGTTGGACTGCGAGCAGGGATACAGTGGCGTGAAAATTGGCTTGTCAATAAATAACATGACACTCGAGAAAGAATGCAAGAATAATAATATGTAGATCATAATATTATAAAATATTATGATGTTTAATATTATATGAAAATAGATGCTTAATTTCCAAACTTATTTGATTTATTTATATTTTTTTATTTTATTTTAGCTATAACATAACTAAAAACTACCTTTTTTCTCCTCTAATATTTAATGTATACAACGAAGTGTAGCGTCAATTAAATAAAAACAATTTTAACTAAAGTAACCTACAATCTTACATTGCCACTTTCGTTTTTGATACGACCAGATTCTATATATTGATTAAACTTAAAACAATATTTTATACAGGATGCATCAAAAGCATTAAAAACAGTTTACGATGGAAAATCAGTCGAAAAGAATGATGGTTTTTACGTTTATAAAAAAGGCTATTTTAAAATGGTTTTGCAAGGTATAGTTGAATAGTTCGATAGTAGTTTTTGAATAATTACGACGACAGCGGATTTGGGTCAAAARCGGTTTTCAGCACATAATTTCAAATTTTATTAATTGCTTATAATAATATGTTTTAGATTGTTCAACAATTCAATACATTTTTTTCAGTGGCTCTTTGAAATGTTTTAACTTTTTTAATAATTTTTTTGTATTATTTAGGTTCTTTGAGTTAATGAAACTATTATAGTGTTTGGAGTATTACGCGTAAATCATACACACTGTCCGTGATTTGGATGAATTTTGTAAGATCTTACATAGTGATTTTAAATCAGGTTCGGATCGATTCAAGTTTTATAATTAAAACTAAAATTAATGTGTATATAATGATTATACTTAATTGCGAAAATATAATGCACAAACGTTTCGCTGTATTAGTCATTTAGGAAGCTGGAAGCTTTTGGAATTTTAATAATGTTTGTTTTGAGAAGTCGAGGGGAAAATAAATTTTAAAATATTTTTTCAAAGAGTAAACATAACGGGGCCAAAGAGCCTCGGTAAATCAATCTGTTAATTTGTGGATAAAGAGAACATAATTATTTTTCCAATTTATAGGAAGAAAGTTTATTATTATGTTGTACCTAAACAATCTACCTGTGTATAATAAATACTATCCAAAGAGCCATGGGGTTTAATAATTCTTAAATATTTTCAATTTATGTCTGGAAGCTAAAAACGTTTGATCCTTGAATATTTTTAATTTGTTTCTTAAAATTTTATATAATATTTTGCCATTATGGTTATTATAGGTTGGGTTATTTTTAATGCTTAAAGTTTATATTTTGATATAGCTTCTCTGAGAAACACAGGATGTAATACCCATAGGTATTTGTTGGTTATTATATTTTTTCGTSAGACTAAACAAATATCCAGAAGCTATATTATATCTAGGAAAATGTTTTATTTTTCACAGAAAATAATATTATATATTATGAGTACTAGAAGCTACGGAATTAATCATATTGTTATTTTAATTTTAAGAACATAGTTGCCTCTAATATACCTACGTCCTGAAATTCTGAACGATATTTTTTAAATTCATAAAGCTCGAGTAATTTATAAAACTTACGTGATTTTCAATATTATGAAAGCTAATGTCGATATAAACCTCTAAGGCTCTAATAGAAAAACTTATGTAATTTAAATAAAATTTTATGAGGCTGATCATMGTACGTTAGACGTATTAAAGTATAATATATTTTTATTGTGCAGCTGACAAGTTATTTTTCATTGAATAAACTTTTCGAATTCGAATTTAAGAATTATTAACGGCATAATATTACTGTTTTTATTTTTATTTTTTCAAGATTTTTTTTGCACTAGGAGTACAGATTTAGTTTTTTATAGATTAAACCAGCACAGAATTTTTAATAATAGATAGCATATGATGTAATTATGCATGAAAAAAAAATATTTTTTTATTTATTTGTGTGATATGAACTGCAGAAATTGTATGGATTATTCAAGTAAACAGATGACAGATCACTCGAATAAACTTAAGCTTTATGCGTGTTTGGTAACAAAACGTTTGATAAATTAAGTAACTATAAATATTGGTACAAAAAAAAAAGAGAAAATAATTCAAGGAACTTTAATGAGAGTATAGAG